AGGGGAGGCTTGTCCTTGATGTTGTGCATGACTAACCCAAAAGGGTGCCAAAATCATAGTCACGTGGTGTGATTTCTTAACTTTCGAAAGGCCAGCAGGGATCCAGCCTGCTGTCTGGGTGGGTGAGGAATCAGGAAAGGCTAAAGCCATGTGGAAACAGCTGGGCTAAGCCCAGCTTTAAAAATCATGACTAAATGTCGTTGGAGAAACATCTGCACTGCACGCAGCAGGCAAGGAGGAACGAAGGAACAGTGGAAAATGATGCTGATTGCATCAGGTAAAGACAAGAGTCCCGAGTGTTACCTTTTCTTGGTCGTTGTATCAACAGCTAGCCTAAGCAAGAGCAACGTAATCAAAAAGTGACGGTTAATTATCCGCCCAGCGAAAGGGACGCAAAGTGCCTCAAACATGAGTCGAGGTAAAAAATCAGACCAAACCTCATCCCCCTTTCTCTGTAGCATAAGAGGCTCTTGCAAGAACCTGGTAATTTCTGCGTTTCCTGTAATACAAGAAACCTTCATTACTGTTCTTAACGCAGGGGCTTTTGAGAGCCGTCATCTCACTGCTCCTAAGTGACTCGGTGATTTTGAAAACTGAGTAAATGTTTCTCAGCGCAGCAGTTCCAAGAGTTACAAAAATACTGGCAGATAAGGCAGCACATCAGCTTGAATGATTTGCACAACTGCGAGCCGTGCTTTAGGAGCTGCTGGCCGAGAGCATCCAGAACTTTTGCCCTCACTTGGCTTTTTCCCTGGCCCGCTGCATACGTTCAGCACGAGAAATGTAAGCCTCGTGGTGCAGGACGCTGATTTCTTTCACGCACATTGCAGATTATGTTGACTGAGCCACGAATTGGCAAGTAGAGGTGGAAATTGTGCTCTGCCTGTTGTTCCTCACGACAGCTGCACGCTGGTCAGGATAAATGCTGCCAGAGCTTTTGGTTCCCCCACCGAATGCATGTACTTCTCTGGATGGGGAAGTACAGGCCAGACCTTTGTTTTGTAGGAGGCAGCTTACTTGGAAAGGTCTTGCCCTGCGGGAATCCTGTTGTTCAGACTGTAAATTGATAGTGATGATCCCTCGAGAAGCAGAGTCTGAAGATAAAGCCAGATAGGGAAAAGGAGGGCTGGAAATGGGTGGCCAAGATTTAGTAACAGGCATGAGCTGCTGTTTTCGGAGGCTCTCCCTTCTGTCAGCTGTAGTAACCGGGGATCGCATCCTCCACCTGGGGTGGTACTCTGGAAGTCCAAGCAGGTTCTTGGTCAGATGAAAGGAGCAGCTTTGATTACAGGACCTCATAATTAGACATAATTAATTCATCTTGGTTAATCTTGCTTCCTCATGGCCTCTGGAGCAGACCTGAGCAATGGACACACGAGGTGTGAGGGAGTGAGGGGCAGTTGTGTACCTCAGCGAGCAGCGCCGTGGCTGCGCCCGCGCCGCCGGGACAGAGTTTGGTGTGATCCCCTGTGGAAGTGTGTTCAGAGGGGTTTGCGCTCGCGTGGCCGATGTGGCATTCCCAGTCTGGTTGTCACAGAGCACAGCTGCTCTGGGAACTGGCTGAAAGTTAACGTTTGACTCACAGGTTTTGATTTATTTTTCGTTTCAGGCGAGCCAACAGAGCGTCCACAGCCACTTCCACCCCGCGCTTGCCCCCGTCCTCTCTACCTTACAGAACTTTGTCAGCACGAAAAGGTCCTCAGCAGATGTGTCTCAGAGACACTCAGGTATAATCCGGGCGGCTCGAACGGCTGCGTGTTGTTGGCGTTATGTTGGTGATGGTTTAAGAGCGAAGCCGAATACCTGAATCTGGTTTTCCGGCTCAGGCTCCCAGAAGACGCGTCACTGATACTTTGTGACCCGAACACTTCCCAGCAGATGACATTATATTTATGTCTACTAGTAGAGTAATGACTCCTGTTTTAAGGGCAGAATTCCTGTGCCCTGCTATTCCCTGATGCCCATGCCACAGGCTTAGCACAGGGAAGGTTCTCCCCTTAGAAACAGTTTTCTCAGGGAATAAAACTGCCACCACTTCATTTATATCTTTGTCGCTCCTGAGCCTATAAAGGGGCGTTTTGTAATGAGAAAGTCAGAGTGCTCAGTTTGCAGATTTACCAAGTGCTAAACCTACAACCTGCAGTAGCTGGTGGAGAGGCTGCGCGTCCGCGGGCTCTGAGCTGCGTCAGAAGCTGGTAACCTTCGCTCGGCTCTGACCGTGGGCAGGAGGAGAAGACGTTTCTTCTGCTGGTTTGCATGCGCCGGAGGAGGCGTGTGGATCTTTGGGCAGCCTTCCTTGCGCCCTTTGGAAGGGCCCTGCAGCTCTGAGAGTGCGTCTTCACGCCTTGTTTCGGGCTGGGCTTCTCGCGGCACCTCGGCAATCCTGCCTTGGGTGCTCGGGGCAGATACTGGCACGCGCACAGCGATCGTTAACTTCCGAAGGGGACTAGTTCTGCCTGCGTTCTAAAAGGCTCTTAAGGTAGTTTAATTAAAGCTGCTGGAATTAGGGGTTGGTGTAGCAGAGCCCAGGCCCTGACTACACCATCAGCTTGATAGGCTGTTTAGTCCCACTACACATGATTCCTTTGAAGTGTCCCTTTTTATTGCCTTTAGGTTTTTTTAATATTTTGGGTACTTTTAAATGTCCTGTGGCTAGATATATGCCAGCCAGACTTCCTGGCTGTCTATTATTTACTGATACAGCACAAATGAGAAGAGGAAATCAATAGAACCTCAACAGCCTCGGAGCAGCCGTGTTCCCTACCCTTTGTGGTAGGGACACTGTGATTTATGAATAATAAGCCAATCTTTAATTGAGTGAAATGCACAATAGGGCTTTTCTTCAGGCCGTCAGAGTGCTGCTATTCAATAGGTGGCGGGGAGCAGCGGCTGTGCGACAATGGGCGTCACGGTGGCACCCGTCAGCCCGAGCGATTGCGTCCACATTCATCTCTGGTGAAACAGAAATCCCGTCCTTCTCACGTGAGCAGCGCTGCCTGGTTTGGCACGGGAAGGCTCCGCTTCTGCTCGGTGATAACTCTGACTAGGCAGCGAGGGACCATTGTCACCTGACAGCCTTATCTCTTAATTATATTATCTCTTAATTACAGAAGCTAATTGTTTGTTTCTTTATTAGTAGGAGCAGATACGGGCCCAAGGACTGTGGAGATAGCAAGGGTCAGTGAGTTATTTTCTATCAATTCAAAAAGCTGACGCCTTTAACTGAAGTTGTTCATTTTTCTAGCATTTCTCAGAAGTAAAATTGCATTATTTATGTTTGCAATAGACTGTTGGATGTGTGCCTGTGCAGTGGGACACGCGTGTGTGGGGATCCATGTGTCTGTCAAACCCATTTTCTCCCTGTTCCATAAATCAACTGAGTCAGTTGTTGTTACGCCCTGACCCATACAACTTGCTCCAATTGCAAATGTTGGGGTTTTTGTTTTGTTTTAGGGGCCAAATGATGCACTTGGTATCAGCATAGCAGGAGGGAAGGGAAGTCCGTTAGGAGATATTCCCATCTTCATTGCTATGATTCAAGCCAGTGGTGTGGCCGCACGTACCCAAAGACTCAGGGTGAGTAGAGGGGTCCTCACAGTTTTTCCTGTTTGATCTGCCACGTGTCCCACGGAGAAGGAGCCCCGAGCACTTCTGTATATGCCATCAATTTGATAATGTCTCATGGACTGTCTGTCTCTGAAAGGCAAACTGCCCAAGAACAAACAACCCCTCTCCACCCCCCAAAAAAAATCCCTGCCCTTCTCTTCCCTTTTTGATTATATTGCATCTTGGGATAATGGCAGTGAGCGATTACATGGAAAAGTGGGTTAAAAGAAAGAACACAAGTGTGTTCACATTGGTTTTGAAGGTGTATGTTCGTCCAGACCCAGGGAGGGCAGCAACATGGGGAAATCGCAGGCATTTTGGGGACTGCAGACTGGGCATCGTTTCGGGCTCAGACCAGGCAGAAACTAGATCAGAAGTCAGTTGTTTCAGCTTAAGGCCCTTATAAAGAAATGCCAAAATAAAGCACTTGCTTCAGATCCCCGGGATATGTGGGTTTCCAGGGACGACCACGGCAAACACTTTCCAGTCCTGGAGAGAGTTTCAGGGAATTGTTGGTATCAAGAAGAACTTACTGTGCAGATACATAGAATTGTCTTGGCCCATGAGATGTGTTAGTACACGCTGCTGCATTCAGGCCATGTCTCTGGCAGCGTTACACAGTGGCACCAAGATCATTTTTATGTACAAAAAGAAGAAATCACCTAGGTTGATTAGATTGCTGTCAGAAGCGCCTGCTTTTCTGTACTGCATTTAGCCTGTGCACGCGTTGTCTACAAGAACATGAACTTGTCTGCACACATGGACACAAACGAATCCTTTCGGGGTGGGAGGGCAGCAGGCAGAATCTCACGCTGTCTGCTTGCAGATGGAGATAGTAAAATTCAACCATCTTTCTTTCTCTGATCGCATTGTTATTTTGAAAAAAGTCTGTGTTGTACTTGCTCCGAAGGACGGTAAATGATCACTAGCAATGCAGAATTCTCACAAAAGGGATCCTGCAAAAGAGAAGCATGACTGTGCAGTGCCAAGTTCACGAGGAATTTTAAGCATTCTTCATTTTAATTTTCCCTAATGCTAGTAATTTTCCATTACTGTTGTACTTTTAGGTTGGAGATCGGATTGTCAGTATTAATGGGCAACCTTTGGATGGGCTGTCTCACGCAGATGCGGTTAATCTACTAAAGAATGCTTATGGGAGCATTATCCTGCAGGTATGGTGATAAATTGAACATGCAGCTGCACGAGGGTAGATAAATGGCATTCATGAAAAAACCCAAACCCTAAGCATCACTGGCACAAGGCATCACAGAATTGCAGGGTGCTTGCTGATGGGAATTACACAGAATGAAAGCAAGAAATAATGTTCATTCAGAAATTCTTTATTGCCACTCATACAGGCTGTGAGCATGATTATATAAAAGCGTAACAAAGAGAACAAAGTCACTTGTTGCTACACATGATAAATCAACAAGCTTCTGAGGTTTGGGGTTTTTTTAATTGGAAGTTAAGTAGGAGCAAGGAATTACGTGTATTTGTGCGGCGTGCAACTAGACTGTGACCAAACTGCCCACAGTGTTCATTTCCTTGTTCTTGAAAGGGGGAGAAGAAAGAAACGCTGGCAGCATTACGTAAAAACGATAGCATCGTCATTAAGACGGCACTGCCCAGAATTGATTATTCTACAGGTGGTGAATACTCGAGAGAAACGGCGTTATCAGCACCGCGCTGACACGCCGGCGAAAAGGAAGACGGGCTCTGCCACTTTGGGTCTGATTGCTGCTCGCCAGTGTGTTCACCTCTAGCTGCTTCTTATGTTTACACAAAGAAGTGGGAAAAATACTTGCAGCGAGAATCCAAAATATTACACGTTTGCAGAATTATTGTAACAATTGGAAAACAAGCTTAAGACGCCCCGCTAAAATCGACTCTGGTTTTCTTTAGCATCCCAGCATGCTGGGCTGGAACGCACCTTGCGAGATGTTTTTCAAGCTTCTTGCTTCCGTTACAACACAAATGTGACTATGAAAAATAAAGGGAAAAAGGAAAAAAAGAAAACAAGGAAATGAAATGATGATAAACTTTAGTTTTAGACTTGCTTATTCTCTGTTTTGTCTGTGAGCGGGTGACCTGGTAGGTGATGAGCCAGTTGCAGAGCAGATGGTGAATTCCTGTGGTTCCATTGGAGTGGAGGGAGTACAGGGATCCACACCTGCTGAGGAGTCTCGGTTAAGTTACAGTGATCGTGTTGCTGCTGACGTGGAGTCATTTCACTGTTCGTGTCAGCGGCATTCCCTGAGCGGAGAACGAAAGCTTGCTGCAGACCCCAGAACGGATAGCGTTGGAAGCTGTACCACAGCGTACGCCGCCCCATCGCGCGTTCACGTTCCCTCCCGGGGAAGCACGCTGCCGCTGGCCCGCTCCCGCGAACCCAGAGGTTCTGCGGGAAGCGGCTTTGGGTTTGGCGGGGCTTTTGCTGCCTAGCCCAGAACGGTTAGGTACTTTCTGCAGCGGGTACAGGCGTGTTCCTCCTCTGAGATCCTGCTGTGCGTTACATGCTAGGGCGTTACATTCTGCGGCGAAGCCCTGCCGTAAGCCTGGCGATACCGCCCGTGCCAACCGCAGCTCCTTCTCAATCCCCCGGAACTGCTGCTTTTTTATTACTAAAACAATCTAAATGGAATAATCCTATCGCTGTGATGATCGTGGCTGATGTGTCATTAAGTAATTCTGTTTATTATCAGGTTAGACCACTTCGTGGCAGACTGCTCTGAGAGGTCAGATAATTGCGTTCAGCGGTGTGGAAAGGCTTATTATCAGGGCGTCCTGGGAAGGATGGTAAAGGAGTTTGCAAATGCTGTTTGCAAACGGGAGATTAGGGTCTCAGGGGAACAATCATCCCTTTCGGCTGCTTCGATGCTTTGGTTTAATTTAATTTCTCTTCTGCAGGTGTGGTAATGAGATAAGGGGAAGCTTTTTTACAGGGTTGTTGAACTCTGATACGTTCTTACTGCCAACTGAAGATTTTTGAATACAGATTTATTTTGCCCTCGTTTTATTTAACAACAAAATATGACAAATACGGGCTGGCACCCTTTCCCCTACGGCCGCGGGAAGGAAAACGCAGCGGTGCCTTTGCGGGCTGAGCCAGGTGCGCTGTCCTGTCTGCCGGACCCCTCAGTCAGGGCGCCCCAGAGCCCGGGTCCAGGGATGCACCATTTGCATGAGAGCTAATCTTCCTCCGAGGAAATGCTACCACCCGACTGGCTCCAAGTGATTAGAAAGAGGGAAATGCTGTTGGGGAAGAATTGTGAGCATTCGTTCAAAACGGGGGATTTATTTAATGGATATTTTTATTTCTGAAAGGTACATTTCCCTTCAGCCGTGCTCACGGCGGGGAGTGGAAGGAGGACCTGTTATTTTTGATAAAATAAGCCCATCGACAGCTAGAGGAAATATTGAAAATGCCCTCACTGGGTGTTTCTCACTGTCTCTGAGCCGAACTCCCGTGCTGCACAGGAAACGGGGAAGAATCGTAGGATCATTTAGGTTGGAAAAGGCCTTTCAGATCAAATCCAACCTCAGAGAGTATCTGCTCAGAAGGAGACGGAGCTAGCGGACAGCGATGGCACGTAGTTGTTAGGAAACCTGTGCCCTTTCAGCTGTCAATACTGAAAATCCAAAACACTTTGTAATGACTTCCTCAAACTTTTTTTTTCCCCCAGAAAAAAAGCAAATAATAGAAAACCAGCATGCAGTGAAAGGTTAAGAAAAAGCTAGAGTAGCCACCGAAACTTTGTGTTTAATAAATCCCACTGGGCCTGCAGGCTGTAAGCTTTTGTGCCCCTGAGGCTAAACCCCTCCGAGCGCCAGAGCCCAGACCTCGCCTGCAAGTGACCGGTTCCTCGACGCGGCCGTGGTCGCACCCGTAACTAACCCCGACAGCACCCACGTGGCTGCTTTGAAAACCTCAGCAAGTTTGCTGCTCCACAGCCTGGCACAGTGTCGTTAACTCTGTTAATTACTGTCTGGTAGTACGCGTGGTGGTTGCGGAATAGTACAGGAGCCAGGACTGGCAAGTTGAAGAAGCCAGTTCATGAGATTAATGCTGGAAATTGCAGAAAAGTTGAAGCCAAGGATTAATTTCTTCCCCACTCGGCAAACAACCCAGTCCGAGGTATTTCAGGGCCTTTGCCCCATAGACCCTCGGGGGGCTGCGTTTCACTGAAGGCTGTGGTGCTCCGTGGGAGACCTTTGCTTTCAGGCACAATCCTGGGCACCCAGTGTTGGCTGTTCCCTGATGAAGTAACGGCTTCCTTTGGATTGTCCAGAAAGACTCCTCCCCTCTGCTCAGCATCTGAGGGACAGTCGTGTAAGGGCAGGAGAAAGCGTCAGAGCTAAGTTTGCTTTTAACCTCCAGAAATTATTTGAAAGTATTGAATTACTGGAGAATTTAAAGAGAATAGGACTTTGAAATTTGCTTGGAAAAAAAATCAGTGATTGATTTTCCTAACGTATCGAGTGTTTTATAACTAGCCCAGATGTCGTTGGTGTTAAGTGAACACATGTCGTATTTTACATCCTTCTGTTTAGGTTGTGGCTGATACCAACATCGGTGCCATTGCTACCCAGCTGGAGAGCATGTCTGCGGCGTGCAACCTTAACTCTTCTTCGGAGCATCCGTCTGAAGATCCCGAGTAAGTCTGCACTTAGTCTGCATAACTGAGGTGGATTTCTGCCCCGTGCGAGGGAAAGGCCCAGGCTGGTGAAGGAGGGCTCTCCTGTTGCTTTTCTCTCGAGTTTTCCGTCACCTTTAAAATGTCACTGTGACCTTCTCCCAGCTGGTGGCAGACTCGTGTCCATCTTCACCTGGTGTCAGACATCGCTTGAGAAAATAAGGACAAAACATGTTTCCAAGCACTAATTTTGGACCTTATTTAAAAACCCCAGTGTTCCTTTCTACTGTGTTATGCTGACGTGACACTTCTGCCCCTGTCTGTCGGCTTCCTTGCCTGAACAGTCATGGCCACAGCAATCGGAATTCGTTTGTCACTGGCAGACTAAGGCAGGCGGTGCTGCAAAGCCTGGCATCAGAGAGAAAGGCTTCAAAACACATCCCACAACTCTCTTCGTCTGTTGACTCTTTTTTAGCTTTACAGTTTGAAAAAGGCTGATCAAAAGATGTTCTACGTAGAGCTCTTCCGTATGGTGGTGGACGTTAGGGATCTAGCCCTCCCATGGCCGTGCATCATTCTCCACCGTGTGCTTTTTGGGGCAGCTTATAGCATTCCAGTTACCATTTTGAAATTCATTGCATCTTCATTTTGGCTCATTAGCTTCATGATGTTCTTGGTTTTCCTTGAGTCATTATATTTATTTTAAGAAGCTGAGATGCAAGTTGCTGCCCTACCTCGGGGGTTTGAGCGTAAAAGTTAAGCTATTTATACCGCGTTCTCTCGCTGTACAGTGCGAGATACTGGTTTTATTGCTGCTCTCAGAGGAGAACTGCTTCCTTCACAAAAGGATTTGTACTCTCTTTTCCTACCAAAGCAGTAAGGAAATTTGAATGTGAAAATAGGAAGGTGTGTGCATTTGTTCTGTCCCAAAAAAGAAATGTCTAGATGCTAGTCACAGGCTGCAGCTTTATGTCGGTGGGAGGTGCCGGGCAGCTTTTGTCCACAGCAACTTTTTGCTAAATATGCAGAAAGGACTTTTTCAAATATGGGACGGATATATGCAGATGCATGGTCTAAATGCCACCAAAAATCTTCCTTTGCCCAGCGTAGAGAGTAAAAGCCCCTGAAGAGCAGCTCAGGGTCTGAGCTAAGAGCGGCTCAGGGTCTGAGCTGAGCGAGGGGCTCTGGGGGCCCAGCCTCTGGGGTTACGAGGTGCAGGGATGTAGGGCAAGTTCGGAACCAGCCCAGGAGCCTGCAGTGGAGCTGAGGCTATAAACACAGGTGTTGGCTGCACCCTGGCTACTAAGCACATTCCTCTGAAGTCGTCAAGTAAAATGGTGCCGTAAGGCAATAGTTGCCGTGGCCACGTGGGCAGACCCAAGACGACTGCTTGGCCGGTGAGAAAGCCAACCCTGTGTGCGTGCAGCGACGGCAGGTGAGGGCAGTCTCGCTTCTGCACCCGCACCAAGTGCTCTTGTTGAGCTCTTATTAAAAATAAATGTGTTCAGAGTGAGGAACCAGAGCATGCCAAGCAGCGTTTGAACTCCGGGCTGCGCCGGAGCCTGTTTCAGCGCAAGGCCAAGTCGTGCTCTGTGACTGCATGAAAACCTTCTGGATTGATAGATAAATATCTCTGTAAGTGTTCCTTCTGCATAAAGTCCCCAGAGACAGACACTGCTATTCTAAGTGATATTTGTTGTGTTTTCAGAGCACCTCAGCCTAAGATTATTACTTTGGAGAAAGGCTCTGATGGACTGGGATTTAGTATTGTAGGGGGGTATGGAAGTCCCCATGGAGACCTGCCCATTTATGTCAAGACTATATTTTCCAAGGTATATTTTTTTTTTGTTTTGTTTGCTCCCTTTTTCTGTATTATCTTTAAAAATAAACCCAAGATTTGGCTTGCATAATATGTCATGTGGTAGACAGCAACATGCACTGTCTAAGCACACTGGTGTGAGGAAGCAGAACCCGCAGCTGGCTTCTCTGCTTATATTTCACATTCCTGGTGGCAGAAACAAGGTACCTGATCTCGGCAAAGTTGCTCTCTGTACTCGGGGAACTTGGGTTTATACATTAAAGTATTTAGAAGGCAGTTTTATATCTGTAAACCTCAAAGTGCCTTCCGAGAGGTACAGAGGCATCGCGTTGCCCGCTGCGGAGGGTGCGGCTGCAGAGATGCCACGTCTTTGTGGCTGCAAGACCGGCCCTAAGCTCCTGCGCTCAGGCAATCGCCTCGGCGAGAAAAAGCACCGCACGAGCGGAACGCCACACTCTGTGGCTTGGTAATGAATTGGCTCACACCCAGCTTTAGTTTCTCTCCCTGCTTCCAGCTTCTCTCATGCCTCTCCATGGCTACTCCGCTCCCATGGGCTGCAGCTGCTTGTGATGCCCATCTCTGCCCCCAGCCCTGGTGTCGGGGGAGGACTGGGGGGTCCCGGCCAGGTACAGCAGTGGCTCTGGCCACCGAGGCGGAGGGAGAGACGCGGTACAGCAGAGCCTCGAGGCAGATGGCCCCAGAACGGGTGCAGAGGGAGAAGTGCTGCCCCTTTTCCCCCCCATCCCCTTGCTGGTGGTATGCTCGGCACAGGCCAGCGAGATAGGTCAGGCATGGCCATGTGAAGGGAGTTCTGGAAAGGGTGGGGGGATGCGAACAGTGGGAACTAGGGATACTGTGCATGGAGTCAGTCGCACGGCTTTTTGTCCTGTGCTTACTCGCTGTCCCTCGTGTCAGCGCATCTGGCAGGGTAGATGACATTGTTAAGGAAACTTCATCTGAAGGGGGAGCAGAAGCTGTGTCTCCTCTGCCTCTGCGATGCCGGGGCTCAAACCACAGACACCTGGTCTTTTTACAGTTCTCAGGTCTTAACATGGGAAGACACCGTGTCTTTAAACTGATGCTTAGATTTACAGGTTTCTAGTGTGGGCACAGCTGAGAAACCCTGAAGCGATGCTAGAACACGCTGCAGCAGAGGGGAAATGTGAGCCAGCCTCTGGGCAGGGCAGGGCTCAGGATTTAGATAAGAGCTGCACTGAGGGCTCTGGAGGAGAACAGCCATTTCTAAACCTCGGTGGGAGCTTCCCAGGACCTCCAATGGAGCCCAGCTCCGTCCGGGCTTGGGGCAGTGCCCAGGCTGTTCTGCTGCAGGAGCTCTGCATCCCCACATTCCGACCCATTTCTTAGAGAGGTTTGGTCTTTTGCTTATGGAACTAGAGGAGAGACTGCACAATAGCTTATAGAACGGTTTGGGTGGGAAGGGACCTTAATGCCCACCCAGTTCCACCCCCCCTGCCATGGGCAGGGACACCTTCCACTAGACCAGGTTGCTCCAAGCCTCATCCAGCCTGGCCTTGCACACTTCCAGGGATGGGGCATCCACAGCTTCTCTGGGCAACCTGTCCCAGTGCCTCCCCACCCTCTCCAGGAAGGATTCCTTCCTGATATCTAATCTAAACCTCCCCACTTTCAATTTAAACCCATTACCCCTTGTCCTGTCACTACAGGCCCTTGTAAAAAGTCCCCCCCAGCTTCCTTGTAGTCCCCCAGGCACTGGAAGGCTGCAGTAAGGTCTCCCCGGAGCCTCCTTTCTCAGCGCTGGGTGCAGAGTGTGTTCAAACGCTGCTCTAACAAGCCTCTCCGTAACCGTAACAGCCAGAGCCAGGCGTTACGCTGCGGTTTTTTCCAGGGATGAGCCGATTCTGTCCTCCCCAGACCTTCCAGGGTTGGGAGCACGGGCTGCGCGCTTATGGCCGTGGTTGGAGCGCTCCGGGAGACGCCAGCGCTGTCACTTCCCGCCTTGCGGTGGGATGTCCATCCCTCCTCACTTCATCCATCGGCGTGGCGGGAGACGGGAGGGCTCGGTGGTAGCGGCCGCTAACGAGTG